GGGGGGGGGGGGGGAGAAACTTTGTGAATTAGATAAAAGAATAATCAAGATTTACTATAATTTATATGCTCACGCTTTGATGAAATTACTACAGATCGTAAACGAAAATTGCCGGAATCCGAAAAGTTAGTGCCTGTAATCACCAGGAGTTCCAGTGAAGATCATACTTACAGCTGTATCACTTCGTTAAAACTGGAAAGGTAAGGATTCTCTCTTTAATTTTGTAAGACTAGCAGACTAGCAGACTAGCTGCGTGTGAATCGCGCCAAGAAACTAGTTATATTGTTTCCGATTTCTCACCGTGCAGTAAAAATTCGAACGAAGACGAGACAAATCCAGACTTCGACGAACAAAGGAAGATCGCGGAGGGTGCGGACGCGCTTTTGAATCTGGCCGGTGTCAGTACAACACTAAGTCACTGTAAAACGCATCACATGTCGTCGCAAGATATTAATCCAGCGCCAAAAGCGGAGGGAGTTACAAAACCAAAAAGACGTTCTACTCCGAGTGATTATTCAAGTACTCCCGAGAAAAGACGTAAGAGATGGCGGGAATGGGGGGGTGGGAGTCGGTACCTAAAGCAGATTAGGGGTTAACATTAACACATTTTGTTACATTTCAGAAAGTGTATAGCATTGAGAGCTTTTCATTTTTGCGCGCGACACGAATGGAAAAAAAAACTTGAAAATTCTATCACCTAGTGACAAATTTCTAAGACGATTTGCGTTTTGTATAGTATTGTCGGCAAATTCTCTATGCAACTTCTGAAGACGCGACAAAACCACTTTAGAGGTCTTTGATTTTTTTCGATCACGCGTCATAGATACAGTATGCGCACGAGATCAATTTTTCCATGATTTCTAGTAACGTGCCGAAGAGAGAACGAGAGTCGGATGCATTTTGAAATGATTGGTGTGGTTGCTCAGGGTTTACAACATGCTGTATGCCAAAATACATTCGGTAGCACTAAACAACAAGCAATAATAGGGATGTAGTGTTAAAGAAATACTTTTTAAACATGCTGTTGAAACAATGATAACATATAGTTCGTGGAATATCAATGAAAGAAATTATTACGTACCGAACTAAGTAATGATAATCTTTTTAGAACTGTTGTGACGATTATACATATTAATTCATAGAGAGTTTAATTAATAATAGAGTTCTATATCAGTTTTTCTTTTGTAGATATGTATAGAGGCATAATTAACATCTACGAGATCTCTTACAAGAGTAACGAGACTTTGTAGTTACGTTTCATGGAAACAAAAGAAGAAGGAAGCTGATCTTGTTGTTCTTGTAACAGATCGTATATTCACGCGATAGAGAAATCGATAATATATTTGAAACGATTACACGCATACATATTTCTATGTATATGTGTATATATGTATATAAAATGTATGTACATGCATATATATGCAGATGTACACATTACACGCATTATGATTAACATACTCAGTATGTAATGTGTATATACATATGTGTACAAGGTGTCCGCAAATTGCGCCCGGGAACGGTGGTGGAGTTGGTGAGCAACTGAATGATTGAAGTTCTCACACGTTTGTTCACTTTTTACGGCAGTTTTCAATTTGTTTGCATTTCACGTTTAATCGATTACGAGTTGTGCTTGTCCAATCAACTGTCTGTGAATCATGCGTAATTGTACATACAATGATTTAGTTGTATTCACAATAGATATTAAACCTTAACTCTTTCTAATCTAAAATTGTTTCTTGGAATAAAAAGTGGTAAATATTTTTATGATTTGGCTTTTCAAGAACTTTTTGTGCTTACGGTGTTTTTAAAATGCGAAATTGAGCACACCTTGCATATATATATATGCGCGCTCACGCGACACACAAATACACGCCATGTGCATCGTTGTCATGCACAACATACGTGCCACAAACATATTATCAAAAGAAGAAAAAAAAAGGAAAACAGATATTGAGATACGTTTACACACAAAGGATGGTTCCGAAACGAAGAAGTTTTATCATTTCGTCGTGCCCTTTTCTACTCTTTGTGGCTTTCAAGATGATTTTCGACAGTGTTGTACATATGTAGGACCTTCTAATGTATCCACAGACCAGTTTTGGGATTCAGTTGGAGACTGAATGTATTACAATTAATGCCGATGATATCGATCGGCCGGGTATGAAAGCGAAAGAGAGAAAAAGAAAGAGAGAGAGGAATAGCGCTACACACGGAGACATCCTATTTTTATAAAAGAAAACCGTAATGCTAAGGTAAAGTTTGATAATACCATGTAATTGTAAGATACATGTGCGCGCCACAGTTGGCTAGCGCTTGTGAAAAAAAAAATATTAGGACAAACTGGTCTTGCATACATTAAAAAAAGAATACGTAGTTCTATATAGAGAGAACATATATTTTTACAGGGCGCTGCCCGCGTGATAAAAGCTCTTCCTAATGATTCGCTGGTATGCAGTTTATTAGCTTAAATCACTATACAAAGTATAAATATATAGTAATTCGAGTGACATTATATATACGCGCGCGCGCGAACACGCTGTTGTAGCGCAACCTGATCGATTTCTACTACATATCATCAATTCGTGATGCGTGAAGTTACATACATATGTCAAGAAGCTCTTGTAAGCTCCCATCTCATTTGCCTTGTTTCTATAACCGAGTCATCAACATGTTGACTGCCATCGGTGGATCACTACGGCGATCCCAATCAGTGAGGTGAATCATTATCACGCGTAGTGATGTAGTTTAAATGCAATTATATTACTTTATCATCGCACACATTGTACGGTTTCGATGATAAGGATTTCACTGTGGCGGTAAGATGGTACAAAACTCGCTCTAAAGGCAGTCGACTTGTTGATATATCTCTCGACATAAGGATAAGAGAAGAAGGACGGCGCAGAACGTTATTCTTATAACGCGGCGATTGTATATGTAGAAATCAAATAGTATTATAAATTAATAATGCTTTTGTAAAATATCCAATCATGGCACACTTTTATGTTGCTTCCGCGTGCAATATCGAGATATTGGATGGATCGGTCGTGACGATTAAGAGTCTGAAACTTGAATTCAAAACGTACAATGGACTTTGGACAGGATGCGCTACAGCAATTATTTAATGTGATTGTAGCTAGTCAGCTACACTACAGAGAAAAAAACAAAACAATTCAACGTGTAGGTGCAAGAAAGAATGCCATGCTCAATGTAATATTGATTCGATTGTAATATCGTAAAAAAAGGAGAATAGGTCGCTGAGTTTTCCATCTGTTTTAATTAAAAGTTATTCTACTTATTGTACATTCTGCTACTTGTGTATTAAGCGTGCTCTGCTCAACACTACGTACTTTACGTGAAATTTGTATAGTTGCAAGCAATTTAATTTTTTTTGTTTGATTTTTTTTTCTTTATTTCGTCGTTATTATCTGTGATACTGTTGCAAAAGTTAGTACGACGGTATATCGTTGTTATATACTTCCGCGTCATGAAAGATTATAAATTCTATGTATTATGTTGTATTTATAGAACGAAAGAAAAAAAAGAGTTATTTCTATATAAACTATAAATATTATTAATTGGCATTCTTGCTCACACCTCGGAATACTTTATCCTCGTAACGATTAAAGCAACAAACTGGCATCTTTAAATTGATAATCTATAGAAATTAAATGTTATAGCTTCACAATTTGTTACACATTCTCTTAGTCTAGCTCTCGTTTGCTACGACTGAAGATCTGTTCTTCCATGTAGTTAATTCTAAATTACTTAGGGGGTGGGATGCCATTTATTATCGTAAAGTACGTAAAGTACGTGTAGCTAATCGATAGGTTATTAAAGCGGTAGATTTAATCGATTAGTGACGTAATCGCAAAGCAATACACCAGTAAATCCTGACATTGGGCGCAATACTCTAGTCAGCCGGTTTCCTAGGGGGGAGTTAAGTGGGGTTTATGTGCAATGCGTTAGTCACGAGGTCAGGAGTCAGCGGAGCGATAGACTGTTTTTATTCTACAATTGCGTTTTATGTAGAGAAAAGAAAAAAAAAATAAAAAAGTATTAAGGTCGCATATTTGTAATGTAGCGCCGACTCATCGTACGAATGCTAAATTTACAGCCAGATCAATTTGTTTCGAGTTTATTACGGTCACTTTTATTACGGAAGCGTACTGCTGTTATAACCGGCTGACAAGCGAAGTCACGTGTATAGACAAAGACACCAAAAAGCAAAGTATGGAGCAAAGCAGATTACGGCGTGTCGTAACCAGCTAGGGACAATCAAAAGACATGATGTGTTTGATTTGCTTCCATTACATGACATCGTGCCAAATGCAGAATTCTTTGAGTTTGGAAGATCAGATATGCTAATTTATATATACATATATAAATATACATATGTGTACATATATGTATACATGTGTATACCAGTATGTTTCTAGATTCTTTGGACAATCTTTCGGTGTCTATTCTTCACATTATATGATGTGAAGAATTGACTTCAAAAGTTTGTCCAGAGAATCTCGACACGTTCTGTATATACGCATATGTACATATCTACAGATTGTATATTATAAGAATTTTGTTGGCGTAATATGTAATATTACAGTTATACATATATATATAATATATATTATATATCATTATTATTACTCATTTTAAACAAATCATGCTGTAAAATGTTTGTTAAGTTTTTGATCTTGCTTATATATCTTGAGTATATTTAATATTTTAGGCTGTAATCACAAAGAAATTTTATCTAATGAAACAAATGAAGAAAATATCACTTATAAAGCGAGTTGATTATTTTATTCAGCCTCTTTTTTTTCGCTACTGTAGTATTTAGGACATTATAATTATACACTAATTAGTATAGAATATAATAATTCAATTTTCCAAGTTTGGTAATATATATATTTAATACACCAACAAGATATACAATAAGTATGTAAAAAATATACTAATAGGATACTTTCACAAGATATTCCTACTATATTGTCGCAGGTATAAATAGTAAGTGGATAGATAGTAAGAGACCTCTTATGAGAAGATGGCACTCAAAGCACACTATACTTAAGAAAATATTTCATATAAGAAGAGAATATATATTAAAAGAGAATCTATATTATAATTTTATACTGAATTTTAAAGAAAGATATGTTGCTGACCAATTTTCGCATTTTACATAATTTATCAATCAGAGTAAAATAAATATTCTTAATATAGATATATTTAAAAAAAATAGTATTGATAGAATAACATCTATAAAATAGATATGTCAACTATTTCAAGATTTAGAATAAGGCACATGTGCTACTGACATCCAACTATTTAAATCCAATTCAATTAGAGAGAGAAGTTTAGCTATTCCTTAAATATTCCTTAAATAAATGAAAAGAAATCATTGACAAGAAGATAACAAAGGCAATGTTAGGTATACTCTAAATCGAGACTTTTTATAATATTGAGGAAAAACACCTAGTAATTGGCACTCGTTACAACACTCACTAGTTTTCAGTACCCTTATTCGGATCCCATCCAATATCACAAGGTATATTAGAATTTATTAATTTTTTATCAATTATTATTTACTTATTTGTTTTCTTTCAAATCCCTACAATATCCGACAACATTCGCATAAGAGTGTCAACTGGACGTTTTCCTTTACTTGGTATAAATTATTATCTATGCAAAAGATAGATGTAAAAGCTATGCTTACTATTGTTTGCTCAAGTCTACATGATAATTTAAAATTTATGGTTCAACTGTTTCATTATGTTTAGTTTGTAGATTTGACAACTATTATCAGCTCTCTTTTTCATTCTTACATTTAGAGGGTGTAGAACTAAATACATTTCGCATATCATCTTTCCAAGACAATTGAACACTTGAGCAAGCAAAATCCTTGAACGTTGTGTTCACGATGTGTTCTTTCGGTTGAACTTTATGATTTTGTAGTGAAATATTGCAACTGTCTACTGTATGCATTGTGCTACTCATACTATAAGTTTGATAGCCAGTGTCCTGAACTGAATTTGAGGTACACCAAGGACCTAATGTGTCGATTGTGATACTCTGCTTATGATTCTTATGCATGGAATCTTTATTCATTCTAGTCGCAGTAATAAAACTAATAGTGTCATGATTTTTTTCACTTGATTCGACAGAATTAATCTGTACAGTACTGCCAATTGGATTTGTATATTTCGATAATGTTCCTATACTAACAGAATCGCATAAATTGGTTTTACCATTATTTACAATTGTAATTTTATAATCGTCTTCTGTGCCCTCTATGTTCGTATCGCGAGATATACCTGCAATATATAGGTTTGATATAGGAAAGATATGATAAATGTGATAATTGTGAAAATTAAAAGAAAAATTACGCCTGTTGTGGATGTGGAGACACTCACTTAACAAATCATCATCGTGCAAATTTCGACTTTCCTCTGTATTTATGCTTATATCTTTTGTGCGATCTAGTCGTGTGTTCGAACGTGAACGTCTAATTTTTTTACATGGCATATCGTTCTCGTTACGTATTGGCGATATACAAGGCGATGATAAGCTTACAGATTTGTTGCTGTGCCGCCTATTTTTTAACGATCCCTGAAACATATTGTGATATTAGCTTATACATTTGTATATCGTGTTGAATTTTCTACATACTTTCAATGTTCCATGAATAAACATCCCACTTTGAGGAGGACTACAGGATGAGATTATAGATCCATTCATTTCAACTGATGAAAGAGATGAAATGCTTTCATTGTCATTGTCGGCGCCCTCATAATTAGGAAATAATTTTCTTCTCAGCGAATTGTTGCTTGAATTTACATCCTCATTGTCCACATTTTGCTCCTTTTGAAAATGCAAATTTGAAATGCAACGTTTCATTAGTTTTGCTATCAAGAATAATGTAACTCTGGGCATATATATATGATATAATACTATTAAAAAATAAAACATAAATATGCTAATAATAAATATAAAAATAGATCTCTATATTGTCTTGATACTCTCTACTTTTACCCTGATAGCCATTTATATAGACTAACCTGAGTGAATGTACAAAAAGGTTTTAAAGTATCTTCAACATATTGCGGTAGATTTACAGGTAAGGACAATACTGTTTGAGTCCAGGCTGAAAATACAATGTTAAGCTAATAAATCTTGAAATATTACTTATTTTGCTTATCATAGATCCATACCTTCCTTTTTCGATTTAAGAAATTCCTTGGTAAAATTCATATCATCTGTAACTCTGGAAGGAATGCCTATATCAGTGTATGGTCTTTTTATCTCCTTCCTCATTTGCCATGGGCTAGGAATTATCTGCTTCTGCTTGAAAAATCGATCTATAGCTGCCTGAGCCCGCAATTCCACTTCAGGATCTGGAGAACAAACTTGCTGTGTAGGAGACTCTTCTATCTTTGCTGGATTTATATGTGCTAACTCATCTATGCTCCAACTAAATTCTGGTGACTGTTGAGACAATGAATCTGGCATCTACATATGACAACATTAAGTTATCTCATTTATCACATGTCAATCATAAACATTCACTATCAATGAAACATATCGAAGCATACAAGTGACCTTAGTAAATATAGTTGGACTAATCACAGGCAGATGTAATCTATTGGTCAAGTCAGCTTCGAACGGATTTCTTCTGATGACATTTGCCAATGCAGACGGTGGAGTCATATAACTGGGTAGAGTGGTGAAGTATCCCGTATTGTTCTGATACGTTGTACGTTTGGGACGGATTCCATTCTGTTTAATCGGAGTCGTGTGTAACCTTGGGCTGTTCACCAAAGATCTGTTGCGACCGTTTATCTTGCTCGGTGTCCGCCATCTCAACTGGTCCATCCTGAAATAAGTCGCGACAGTGTTCACTTTTATTCTCACGATGCAACCTCTGTTGGGGTTTGAGATTTATCTTGAAATTCTTACGTTTGACCGTAAAATTCTTGTATAATTTCTTCGATTGTTCTTGTCAATATGACAAGAATATCTCTTGGACATTTATTTACGAACCATAAATCGAACTTCTCTGCAACTCTCGGTAACCGGCGACATAGGCGTCCCAAACTTTTTTGAACTTGTTAGTTGTGACGTCGTCGGTGTTGGTCGCCACTGTGCACATATTCTCTTGAGATAACCTTTTTGCACCTGTATTGACGATGTACGATGAAGGCTTCTTTTCAGCAAAAATAACGATGAACTTTCTCGTTGTTCTTTCTCGAAATAAAACGATACTATTCAGTAGAGTTTGTGAATACTGTTGACTTGTCATAAATTACAAAAATGATCGTTTTTAATATATAAATTATATATATAAAGATATATACTACGTCGTCATGAAAAGTGGAAAAAAATTGTTTGGCTGTAAAACTTCGATAAAAAGCATCTTATAGCTTGGTGTTTTTACTTTTTAGAAATACTGTTGAATATAAACTTGAAGTATTTATCACGATGCTACATATATAAAATATAAATCGAGATCGATCAAGTGCTAAAATTCTTCATGAAGTTTGTCAAATTGTACAATGTAAACAAAACTTTACGCATTAGTGATGTTAATATCATTTGAAAGTGCGAAACTTCTTCTTTAATGTACGCAACCGTGCATTGCAGTACGATTTTTTTTTCATTGAATTATTTGTCATTGAAGCAAAAACCGTCTCTTCGTTTACGATTGCTCACAGCAAGTGAATAAGTAAATGTGTGGCATTTACCAAATTGTGTGTGAATTAAAAATTTAAAGTTCCCTTCTCAATATACATGTTCCAGATTTTTCATACATATATGTATGAAAAATCTGGAACATGTATATTGAGAAGGGAACTTTAAATTTTCATATATGAATTTTCATATATGAATTTTCAATATAAAAAATTTAAATGAAAAATAAATTTATTTAATGTAATATGTGCGAAAAATAGAGATTTTAAGCTGTAAAATATTTTTAGAACCATTTCGTTATCGTTATTTTTTTCAAAGTTAGTCTGTTGAATTTTACCCATTTTCAGGGTATAATTAAAGGATGTCTAATCTGTTATTGATTTGTATTACGTCCTCAATTCTTCGTCAAGGAAAGTGGCGTCTCGTAGCGGAGATTTTGGAACTAATTTAGTCACTTTTCTTGAGATATTCTTGTCACTAAAAAGTCACTTTTTCTCTAGACAAGGAGTAAGGTCCATTTACCACTGCAAGTGTTTCAGGACGACGACTAGGCCAATCATATTGTTTCATTTGACGTTGCAAAGCACTTGCAAGTCGAATGGACTTTGCTTATTGATTTACATGGAGTAAGCGATTATGTCAGTTTGTCTAGATAAGCTCTACAGAGCTGCAAGAGCAAGAGCAAATACTGAATTAACTTTGAAAACTGAAACGTGAAACATCATTATGTGTAATACGTAATTGTTTGTCCATACACATGAAAGTTAATGCATTATGCGTACAGACACTGAAAATTAGTGCAGATAGGCTACACTTGCAATAATATCTGTAATTTTTTTGTATTTTATACTGCAGACGTTACATTTGCGTACTACTCATTCAAAGAAATTACCCGATTTTTATTTCGACCTTTTTTCCAAAAAAAGAATACTCTGTACTGTATAAAGATAATTTTCTTGATTATGAATATCAAGATTACAATGTGATTCTCTTTATAATTTAATAAACGAAAAATACCTTTGCCTATTTTGTGGCTTTTTATGATGGTTATAAATTAGTTCCAATGTCTCCGCTACGAGCCGCCACTTTTCTTAACGAAGAATTGGGATAGTAGTAAGTCGGATAGGCTAGTACCTAGACCTGTACACTTTTATTGTACACCTTTATTTCAATAAAAAAAAAAAAAAGGGATAGTAGTACGACTCAATTATGAGTTGTACGAAATTTACATATTTTAAAAAATACTACTAAACAATAGGTTAGACTGTCTTGAATTTATCTTTAAATGTAAATGAATTATACGGACTATTTCATTGACTACAAGACTTTTAAAAATAAACTGAAGATAATGTCAAATATAAGATCCGATTATAAATACTGCCCTTGGTTAAAACCTTTAAAATTGAGACATCTAAGGCAAAAAACGCATCGCAAAAATTCTTGCGTGCTATTCTCAAATAAAATATTTGTATGAAAAAACACTTTAGATAGCTTGAGCATACTTGTAAAATGCTCCAACAATTATCACTTTTTCTTAGCAATATTTTTAAAATTAATAGTCCCATAAACTTTGCTTTTTTTTTTAAATGCGTAATTTGTGTAAATCAGTATCTGTTGTATTAAGAGTAACCAGTATTACGGCTGATTTGTTTTATGATTATCACCCAATTAGTTTGGAAAGAATTAGGTTGGCATTCATATACTAATAATCTCAGCATATATTTCTACATCTTTTTAAATAACAAATAGTGTGTTAAAAATGTGTGTATAAAAGTATTAAATACTAAATATTTTATATTTGTAATTTTATATTTATACTTATTATGATATATATTTATTTATATATATATAATAATAATAACACTAACGTAGAGCTCAAAACCATTTTCGCTTGTTGTGACGTTTGGATTTCACCTCAGTTTCATCCACGTCCTTGTCGGCGTCTTTCTTTGAGACTTTCTTCGATTTCTTCTCTTTCAATTTTTCTTTAAGTTTCCCTTTTTTCACCATTTTCGTTACGTTGGAGAAATCGTTGTTGTTACTAAATAACTCATTCTTGTTTCTCGCTGAAAGACAATCATCGATTCCAACAAAAGTTTACAATATATTTCACATAAAAGTATTTTTTTTTCGCTTACCAGCAAATAAACCCATATGCTTGTTTATGCTCTTATCCTCCTCCACTTCTCTGCGACGATCCATCTCCAAACATTCGACAATTTCGTTTCTTCTCTCTACAATTTCTACTAACCTGCAAGAAGAGAGACAGAGAAGATATCATTACATTATAGACTTCTTTTTACTATTAATTATCACTATTAATTTTATTACTATTACTATTAATTTTCAGTGATTAAATACATAAGCCAATTATTTTTAAATACCTTTGTATTAATGCTTCCTCTCTCTGTTTATCGAAGTCTGTTTTGGTGGCTTCCGGTTGGCACATAAGACATCGTATTTGATATTCCACTTCGGCGTGCTCCTCCTCCAATCTTTGTTGTCGCCTAAGTAACATCAATTCGGCCTGCCTCCTAAACAGCTCGTTCTTCTCATTTACTAACGCAAATAGTTCCAAGACCAATTCCTCCACGTCTATGCCGAGCGGCGAATCTATCGATGGCAAACGGACTAATTACACCCTGAGCATCAGTAGCGTATAGCGATTATTAAACTGATATAGGGACAACACTTCTTACCTTCCGTTCCGTGTCTGGATTCGCATTTATCCCGTATCAACTGTTCTAACCGCACACCCTGTTTCTCTAAGCCTTGCTGTTGCAACTCTATCTCGTCCAATTCCAATTTTACATCCTTCATGGATAATACTTTTATCTGCAATCAAAAATTGACTTATTTTCTTTTTCGGTCAAATTTGTAATGTTCAAAACTTAATTCATTGAAAATTTTTGATCTCTGTTTTCGAGCTGAATTTAAGAAAGTTGCAAAGAAATTTATTATAATTAAATATCAGGATATCGTACCTTTCTTCTGTGTGGAATTGGTCGTGGCGGAGCAGGTCCTTTCTTCCTCTTCCATTTCCCTTGCACGCTTTTGTCGGCGTAGGATTTGTACGAGATATCATCGGAAGCGCTGCTCAAACTCTGTCTATTCCGGTTCATTTCGTCCTTGTTGGTCTTCTGATCCTGCCACATCTCTAAGCTGCGATCGTCGCTGTTACCGTGAAACTCGATGATCGAAGACTCGCTAGGGCTCACCGCGGCGTTAATGGGCATGTTGCAAGGTGTACTTGTAGACATCGGCGGTGGAGGCGCCGGCTTAGTTTTCCGAGCTCGTGGAGTTGTGCGGGGCGATGAACTCTACGTTAACAAAAAGAAGAGTCAAACTTTACGTTAACAAAAGTAAAAGAGTTTTATTAGTTTTAGAAACTGTTATTATATAGTTGCAAATTTATATAAATTTACTGAGATCCTTGAAAAAACCCTGAGAAAAAACAGATTGATCGTTTCATTACAAATATTTATGAAATATAGTCTCCAATGAGTTAACATCGTAGACATCAAATTTCGAAAAATAAGTTGATTTGTGAGAAATTAAATCTTTAAACTCACATGATACGAGGACAATGTATTGTTAAGTGGCGACGTCTGCTGATCGGACGGGAAGAGTTCTTTCGCAGCCGGCGGCTGCGGTGCAGGCTTCTTCTTCTTGTACGTGCCGCCGGCAATCGCGGCCGACTCGGAGCTTGTCAAAGAGCTATTAGACGCATACATGTCTTCTCGATTAAAATTGCCTCTTCGCGACATCACGTTCACCTCAGGAGTGGTCCTATTGGGACAGAAACAAAAATTAGCGTGCTCTCGTTTGCGAATGCCAAAACATCAGAACAAAACCAATCACGAGAACGTACTTGATAGTGCGTGGTTTTGGAACGGGCGCGTTGCTCCCTGTTCTATTTCGTCCTTCCAAGTCGCTGTCGCGCTCCTCCTCCTCGTCACTCCAGAAAGAATGGAAATTGATTTGTGGTGCGGCCAGTAGCCGTTTCGTGGATACCGCCGTCGGCGCACCTCCTCGGCTCTCCGGTTTGCTACTTCTAGCTGCCGGTTTCGGCGGTGTGACTTCCTCCTCGACGTCCTCCTCGTCGTCCTCGCTATCGAACGGATTAGTCGACACCTTGCCACTCCTCGACGAGCTGCCTCTCGTGGTCTGCCGTTTGCCTTCCATGACGTTGTCTTCTTCGTCGCTCTTAAAGGGATTCAAGTCCTCCGGGTAGTCGTCAACATCTGCGCTCATGAGCAGCTTGCTCTCCGCAACAATCTCGGAGGATTTTCTCTTTATCGTCTTGTCTTCGTTGTCTTCTGCTCGATCGCCCTCGATTCTCTCTCGTTGCTTTTTGATACCTTCGCCGATTATCCGATTGTCCTCGATCGGTATGTTACTATCGAGATGTTCTTCGCTCTTTATCGGTACGATGTCTCTCGAGAAGCTGTCTTCGTGACTCGTAATCTCCGAGTTTTCTTCTTCCTTTTCTTCTTTTCGTTGCTCGTCGACATTCTCGAAGCTTTCTTCGTTGTTAATCTTTGTTTCCTCCATGAGACGTTTTTCTGGACACTCTTCTTCATTCGCCCGGAGAACGTCCGGTGTCTGGTCCCAGGAGTCACCCTGAGCGTTGTCCATGGCGTCCCGCACCGTAGGACTTCCTTTAGTCTCCCGGAAGGCACTTTTATTGCGATCTTTCTTGTCAACGTAGCTTACTTTGTCATGAGCCTCAAACATTTGGAGTCTCCTCTGAACCAAGGACATGCTCGTTGCGGTATTAGCGCGTCCTGATGACTCTTTGGTATCCTCCGTTTTATTATTCTTATCTACGTCATGGAATGAAATGGCAGTCGGTCGCTGATCCTCCTTATTTCTAATTTCTAAGCTATTTAACGCGTTATGTACATCGTTTCGCTCTACGTTGGAGCCCTCCACGTTAACGGGCGAATCCGCCGTGGAGCTATGGGAATCCTCCTCCTCCTCCTCCTCCTCCTCATCTTCCTCCTCCTCGTCCTCTTGCTCCTCGTTCTCGTCGTCGTCTGGGAATGCCGAATCGATCCTGCCTTTCGCTCCCTCGCGATAATCCGACTCGACCTTGACGTTCCTCGCGTCCCTCGCAGTAGACTCGTCGATCTTCTCGGAGAGAAGATGGCTGGCTATGAAGCTCTTTCGCATCTGCGACGTATGGGAGATCAGATCGGGCACCGCAGTCTTTTCCAGTAGATTTCGCGCGGCGGCCTGCAAAATGAAATTTCTCATAAGTCTGCTTGTAACATTTCCTCAGAGCGACAAGAGTGTATAGTCGACGGACGAAAGGTTGCAATACTTTTACCTTGATCGCAATGCATCTGTGTTCAATAGAGAAGAGTTTGGAAGTATGAGTGATTTTTAGAAGAGATAAGTTTTCCTATCGGATACCGGATGACGTTCATCGAGGTAAAAATGTTACGCGACCTTTCTTCCATTGACTATACTCGGTTGCGCAAATTGTAAAAAGAGGAAGAGGAAGAAAACAAAGATACAAAGCGTGACCTTACCTTCCTCCCCGTCTTCTCTTCGTCGCTAAGAGACGATCTCGTGGAGACCTCGTTCATCTCCCGTCCCGCGTCGCCCATGATGGAGTCGGTGTACTTGCGGTGCACTCCGGCGGAGGACTCCTCCTCATCCGGACACGTTTCACAGCAATATTGGCCCTCCTCGGTCTCGTAGTAGTTGCCTGGCGTCAGCTGATTGCCGCAACGAGCGCACCGGAAGCAAGTACGGTGATATGGAGTGCGCGCTATCAGCAGCTTCTCCGCCAGGAAAACCGGCAGTCCACACACGGCGCACGGATCCCTCCGCATTCCCAGACGCGACCCCACCTATGTTATCAACGAGTGACGTTAATTTTTTGCCTCAGCTGTCCGACACGTTGACGGTAGGACTCGGGTAAGCGACGTTAAGACGACGCGGACAGCTACTCTCTAAATTTTCTTGAGCGAAATTTCTATCATGCTGAAATTCTCGACTGTGATTGATCGATTCGCTTTACACACACTGAATTTCTTCGAGGGAAATTCCGCTCGAAGCAACGTGATAGCGCAGAATCTCTCAAATTCGAGCGACATTTCACTCATACAAAGCGAATTTTCCGTCGTCGAGTGAATATTTCCATACGAAATCTAAGAAATCTGAATCTCAAGTGCTTCAGCGTAACAGAAACAAATTCGCTCCAATCGATCAACATGTTCGCTCACGTGTGGATTAAAAATTCACTCTAAGCTCGAGTTAGACATTTAATCTTGGGCTGTCGAGTGGCAATGTTATCACGATCGCTTCGAGGGAATTTTCGCTCGTTTTCAGTGAAATTTTGTGTGTTTCGAGAAATTTGGACAATACACCACCACCACCACAACCACTACCACCACCACTACCAATAATCAATCCACATTGTCATATCGCGGAACATGTTCACCACTCAGACCCCGTGCAAGGGATCCCCTTGGAGGGTGGAGAGTTCTAGGTCTTCCCAGGCGGTGAGCCAGCAGCCTGCCCCTATGACATATCTTCTATCGAACGCACGTCGATTTTCGTGTCGGTGAATTTGATCAGACTATTATTTCAACGGAAATCTCGCCTTCCGGTTAGAGGAGAGCGCACAACTGCAGATAAATATTGGCAAATTGTAGGTCGCATTTGTAACGAGCCATTGGATATCGAGCTCCTCCTCCTCGTGTTGGCCTTTTGCCGCTTTTACACAGCTAGCGAATTTCCACAATAGCGCGGCCGGGGCGGCCATACATCTCCTTTCCTCGCTCGTATTATCGCAATATGCATCTAGTGTCCGGCGAATCCAATAATGCATCGAATCGACTTCTATACGCGAGAGCGCGGCGGATATCAACGGCCACGTCGCGTATACGTACGTAAACGAGGACGATGCTTCGGGAACGAAGTGCAGTCGGACAGTCCGCGAAGCGCAAAGGGAAAAATACATATAGTCGCATCGATATTCTCGCCGTGGAAGCGCGGGACGTCGCGTTCGAAGGAACAACGCAACCGAAAGCCGGAGTAGTGATGTTAATTGCGGTACTTCGCGAAGTAACGCCGTTAATCCCAGTTACCATGGCTATATCTCGGATGTTACCCGGATATCTAAGTATATCCAGGTAGAACTGACAAGAAGTAGAGGGATATTTCATGTATTATTATAGATATATTGTGTACATTTTATTAGATATTTCATGTTTTACTTTGACACATCCCAATATAAAAAGGTTGAACATTGTGTGAAGTAAGATAAAAGTATCCGGACAAGTATTTAATCCTGGACGTTCTTACTGTTTTGATTTTCAAATACGAACATTTCAACTTTTAGCATAAAATATATATACAGAATATCCGGCAATTCGCTACTATCGGAATTGCGGTGTGCAAGTAGAACATATTAAGTCACATCAAGAACAAAAAGATCATACATTAAGGACAAAAAAAAGTCTTCTACCATCTTTCAATTAACCACGTAAAATCTCGAAATATTTGTCTTGATGTTATTTACAACTTCTGTTATGAAATAAAAACTGACTTTCATCTAAAAAGCTGAAGGAAATCTTGGAATCTTGGAAACTAGGGACCAATAATTTTAATAATACATTTGCCCAGCTTCCTTCAAATCATGCAACATTTATTTGGATCAACTTTCGCTAAAATCAATATTTACGGCGTTATTAAAGTGGTCCCATTCACGTGCTTCACCCTGTATACGTATATTCTACGTTGAAAATTGAACTATTCGTTCTTCAAGACCTATAAGAGTGTTCAGGATTGAGAATATGTTCGAGAAATTGGTACTTCTATCTTATCCCCTACATAATGCTTAGTTTTCATATCAGAATATATCAAAATAAAATATGAAATATTGGATAAAATATTTAATTTTTGTTGACTTCACCTCTACTAATGCACGCGAACAATATATTAACGTAAACATATAATTCCATTAAGAAGAATTCCTGAAATTCTGAGAAACCAGATAATACCTGCGACTCCGAGTACCCAGATATGAGTATGGAAATCCCCGGGATTATATCGACGGTGCTGCTTCGAAGAAACGATTCGCACGTGGGGATCGAAGCATCTCTCTTCCTCCGAGAATTTCTTCTCTCCGGTCTCTAGGTTGTCAAGGAGATTTGGGAAGGGTGGGAGGGAGAGAGGGAGAGAGATTTGGCGACTCTTCCCGCCGATATGTTTGCGCGCGCGCGCCCACCGGAGATGTGTTATCCCGGGGTGATGTGTCGCTGTCGCGAAGATCGTGACAAGTTTTACGATATTTCGGCATATCACGGACGCCGTGCATCCTCGCGGAAGATAAAGTGCGCGGTGTGCGGGAGATCGACGACTTCTAGATATGTATAGAAAACGTATCGCGATGAAACATTCAGTGGGGATTATTCCTTCCTTATATACAATGCGCTGTACACGGCAAGAAAACCCACAGAACAATCGAGAAACGTCGTCGTCGACGAGCTTTTCTTGTCGCACCATCGTTCACCCTCTTTCTCTCTTTTCTTTCTCTGACACACACACACACACATACATACACACACACACACACACACACACAGTAACACACATTCACATGTATATAGTGAACGGCCGTACGCTAATTTTCCCCGTTGAAAAATCGCAGCAAATGATAGGTTGCTAACCGCAAGATCGATTTCCATTAAACTTTCATCGACGCCACGTGCATGAGTTTTCTATAGACGGACAAAATAAAGCCGCGATCGATCGCGAGTATTAGTACAACAAAAAGAAAAAGAGACGGGAAAATAAAGAGCATTAATCCGCCTCTCGCGATTTCTATCGCTTTCTCTCTCTCTCTCTCTCTCTCTCTCTCTCTCTCTCTCTCT